CTAAAAGCTGGGAGTTGCATGGATTATCGTGGACGCGTGCATTCACTCGCATTTTAATTCATCTTAATGAATGCCTAGGATTGTCCCACTCTCTAACTCGTTCTCTCGTGGCTATTCTGATTCTTCTCCGTCTAATGGGCACACGTTTTAAATTTCTGTCGAATATTTTACTCTAAAATACACCTAGGAGGCATTCTAATGGAGAGTATGCAAGCTGAGTCTCTCAAATACTTGCTTACAAGAAGTAAAGAAACCATAAGGCCAAATTGATTTCTGTAGTACCTCCGTGTAAACATTTAATTAAAATTGTAAGTGATTTATCACCGCAAAATCTCCTCTTAGCCGAATTTGGCTCTTCTCTCTCAACAAAGGCATTTTAGAAGTCCTGGTAATTTGCAGTACTTCAATGAACCCGCTGCGATGATTGACTGACTGAACCCACCGAAGAGAAGTCGGCAATCTGACAAGCATGTCAAAACAACCCTGTTCATTGTCAATTTTAGTGCATTTGTAAGAAGTTGAGGGATGCATGGGAATTACTGCAGACGTAGGTACCAAATATCACCTTTTTTGTGCCAGAAGCATAAAAATTGCACGATTTTGAGTGGTGCGTTGTTTGTTTACAGAATATCGCAAAATACCGAGACTCTTTTTGGCCAAGGTGTCTGCATCTCCATCATCAATCATGTCAGGAGGAGCACCGGCAACTTCAACAGTCAGTTGGAGTGAATGTGCTGACAGGGTGGCGTGAAATGCCTTGTCAAGACATTCCCCTCCTAGACACAACACGTTTCAGCCTGTTGTCTAGGTATTGAAGGCGCACAGACAGGTAAGCTCTACTGAGAGAGTCTACTAAAAAGTCATGGCTTCGCACCCGTGCTAGCAGAGAGGTTTCACAATCAACCGACACCGTGGAAGACTGCTCATGCATTTGCTAGTAACATTGGACAAATTGCTTCTATTCTCCCATCCATTTCATCTCACAGAATCGGTCACCACAAGTCAGTTATGCAGCACCTGAGATTCCAAGCCTTGCTGATGTTCGGCGTAAATTAGTGATTCCTTGCTGCTCAATGGAATCGATGCAATTCGGTGTCTCGTAGGAACAGCGGCCGCCCTTTTAAGTCAATCTCTCAGGGCCCTTTTACCAAGATTGATGTTTGCATGGGAGACTGAAGTGGTTCCCTTAATCCTTTCTTTCGTCTACTTTCTTTCTGTTGTTACATTCCCTCCCACTGCCGTCGATGCCGCTGCTGATGCAAATGCAGGCGAGAATGATTGATCACCAGAACCGCACCTCGCGCTTGTTGCAGCAATCCAGCTATGAGACTGGTACTGCTTATCGTCTGGAATTTGGGCTGAACCGCCGTGAATCTGGAGAGGAAGACAGTGATGCAAGATTCGAAAGGAAGGCATCCTCTAAGGCAGCACCTCAAACTTGATAATCAGGGGAACTTCTGTCGGACGGCCTGCGTTGTAGTTACATCAGGAGGGTTGACTTAAAAGGGAGTCCTAAGAATTCCGTCAGTAAGGTGTTACAAATCATGATTTCCGACAAGTAGGCAAAGTTAACATCTGTATATCTTTATTAATTTAATCTCTGTCCTGACATTCTGCCTGCTTTTTCCAACCCCTTCAGAATTGATTTTGTCCCGACTTGTGCAACCACTCGCCAAGGTTATCAGATGGAGGTGAAGCTATAAACGGGTAAGAAATTCGTGCAGAATCATATCACTTTGACAATACGTGAGTGCCAACGTAGAAACTTTACCTGTTTGTATATTTCTCTTCTTCCTGTTCCACGAAGCCCTACTTTAAAGCCTCACCCTCTGTATGACGAGTGACGTTACCTTTGTTTTCATGAAGCAAATTGGAAAAAAAAATGCCGAATTTTGCCAGCTTAGCTAAAATACTCCAACTTACTAGAAATATTACTTGACCTATTATGAAATGAGTCATTAGTTTTAATGTTACCTGACATTCTACCTCACATTAAAGCATTTTCCCCTATGGTGGGATATCTGGCCAACATAATTCAGACACAACAAACCGGACATTCGTTTTTTTGGCTAAAATTCAGGTATTTTTGTGTAAATTTACCTTATAGCATGTGAAAGCGCAAAATTGTGTTTTATTCAAGCAGGCTGTTATCAAGTCCAATTCATTCAAAGCAGAGAATAATTTAAAACTCTCAGTGACTCTTTAGCAAGGTTAAATTTAGAATTTTACTTAGATAAAAGCTTGAGGCCAAAAAAATGGTACCTCAACTCGGCCTCTGCCGTGGTGACATGGCGATCTGTCCACCTCCCAGTCCTTCCGCGCTTAACGAATATCGCTTCTACCATCGTATTCACATCCTCGGACCGAGAAGCCCCACTAAAGCCATCAAGAGCTAATTATTCTGCGTTGCTGTCACTTGGTTGTGATCATTGGGTCAAGTGTGGTATTTTTGCACACAGACACCGCAAGCGACCATGGGACGTGTAATAATAGGTCTAACGCGCTCCCCTAACCTGCCATTAACACAACCCCCTTGGTACACATGGAGGGAGGACAAAAGATTATGGTGTATGCATGACCACAAATGCCACTGGTCTGTGCGTGTGACACACCGATGGCGGCCAGTGAAGCGTCTCATTCGCCCATTCCGCCACGAAGCCTCGCCAGTTGTCTGCGCGGAGATTGACAACGAAAGTCTCCTCTCTTACTCTCTCGCTCTTCCGTCTCGCCCCTCCTCCCTCTTCCTCCCTCCTTTGTTCAACGTAGCACTGCATGACAGTTGTGGAGAGGCGAGGAAAAAAATGCAACCGGTGGAAGTTGTTGGAGCGTTGAGTTACCCTTCAACAGTAAAAAACACATACACAGTTTTTTGCATCGTTTATTGCTTCGCTTATTTTTCTGCTGATGACTAGAGGTGAAAGTATAACATTATTTAGAGGGGAGTAAAGTATTCTACAATTGTCATGACTACAGTTGACGGCTTCATTTTAGTTCCCGAAATTTTTGTTTCCAGACATTTGACCTCTACCATGCACCGACTAATAGCTTCCAAGGCGCCTTAAAATATTTCGGTGATTAATTAAAGCAACCGATGTTGAAACTCGAAAAAAATGAATGCCTTCTATGTTGACTTGTTTCACAGTCTTTAATTAGAAAGGGGGAAATCCAGTTTTTGAACCTAGGTGCACCAATTTGTGTGTCGTCGATGAAGAACTGTTTGATTTACTGACAATACCTCTTTTGAAAGGAAAATATTTCGATCCGCAGTGGGTTATTCCGATTAGATTGTCAGTCAGGAGGGTTTTTGACTGCCGCACTGTAAATATTCAAGTCCACAAGTTCACTCCGAATGCCAGATTTTGATAGGACGTGGGAAAATTTTTGACTTATTTATTGGGGAAATTTACAACTAACATCATAAAAAGGTTAAGTTACTTTTACTAAATGAAGTATTTAACAAAGGAAAGGTGAAAAAACTGTGCATTTTTGATTATGCTCTGAGGTTACATGCATCTGGAGGTTCCTCCATTCTTTGGAGCTTTTCGCTTTCGTCTCAAAAGTCGATAATTCCACTTGGCATTACACTGACAAGTGTGGAAAAGAAATTCCCTCAACCGCCTGCTACCTTCGAAGGATATTTTTCTTCGAATTTCAGGAGAGGCTGGCAATGTAACATTTACTAGATAAATTTGAGGTTTAGCTAATCTTGCTTGCTACTAGTTACACCATTCTTTTGACCTATTTACAGCTGTGAAAGAAGCCTGAATCCGCCTGTCACCTGTCAAACACCAGTTAGAGGCCATACGCCGAATGCCATCACAAAACGGAGACGTGGCAATTCGAACCCAGGCGTCAGATTGAATTCAGGCTCCAAGTGGTTGGATAAATTACTAGCTGTATTAGAGACATACTAAGGTAGTGTGGGGATTCTGCTGGACTGAGCAGTCACGAGTGTTGCACAATAGGGCTGTTAAAAAATAAACTCGTGACACAGGTGGGATGGGAGATGAGCCCTTAAATTAGTCTACATCACCCTATAATTGTAGATTAAAGGTAACCGAGCAAACATAAATAGTTTTTTATGACACGGAATAAAAAAAGCCTTTTAAGTCAAGCTTGAATGTAACGCGTATTGGAAAATTTTATGGAAGAGCGAAAAGAATGGATGCGAATACGGTGTGTGATGGTGAAGAAAGGGCAATCATACGCGACATCTAGGATATGAATGGTTACTACAAATGTGCACCTTTTATATTTAGGGAAGAAGGGAAGCGATGTTTCCTACCTGACTGTGTTCTGTGCCTGCGTCCACCTCGCAAACTGGTGGTGTCACTGTGTAACGAAGATGGTTGTAAAAAGCATCCTAAAGGAAGATTTTTAAAAAAGAACAAAATCATCCTACTTGGCGTGGCCCAGAAAATAATCTTTTTGGCCCTCGAGTTGGCAGATCATTAATAGCCGATACACCGACAAACAAATAAATAACCCTGTAGCTCCTTGACACTTCCCTGAAGATAAACGGAGGCACAATACCAGGATGGACTATGCGTTATCTATGTACAGATGGTACGATGGCCACATCGCCCACCGTAAGTTCAAAAGCAGAGCCTTAATGACCCTCCGGAACCAAAAAAGCAGAGTCAAACAAAAAAGTGATGTATTACAGTAAGTTAAACGTTTAAGAAGAAAGTAAACATGCTTTACAGAGACAATTAGGCCGATTGTTATCAACAAGCGCGGAGACGAGGATGCAATCATTAGCTTCCTATCACAAATTGGCCAGAGAAAGACATGGTGTGGAGTACATGAAGATTTACAAATAATAAAAGTTTTGTGGAGGATTGGCACATATCTCCTCCCTTGGAAATAGGCGGTTTCCACTCAGCCAAAAGATTGGTTTGATCTGGCCGCTTGAAGCCCAAAATTTTATTTAACCAAACGTTCACCACATCACAGTTAAGCCTTATGACTTGTCAGAGAGAGAATCTAAGCATTTGTAATTTTTTTAAAAAAGAAAAACTCTACCAACTCTAAGTGTGTTACTCCCTATTATTAAACATCCTTCAATAAATCCTGCGGGAAAACTTGTAACATAAAAACCGAATAAAATTCGCATTATGAATAAGTTTTCACGTACTAAAGAAGTGGAAAAATAATGTGTTGTTTAAAAAAACTTTCTTTGAGGAAAAAAATTGCAACGTCCATATAAAAGCGGTGTCTTTAGTTCGAAAATGATACACAAGAATTACAAAAAAATTCACATTTTTGCATCACGAACTCTTAATAGTTTTCTTTTTCCATTTAACATTAATAAGCAATTGATGAATTTTTCAAAAAGAATGTGCACTCTTCCTATCCCTTTTTAGAAAAAAACAGCTCAATTTTGAATCAAGCATAAAATTTGCTTGTTTAAAAAAATTTGTTTAACCTAAGATAACAAAAAAGGCTTTTGGCTACTCACTGTCTGCCTCTTGAAGTCACTTTCTAGGAGGCATCATATTTGGCTTAAAGATTCCTGATTTTGATTTTTACACACTAACGGGAAAACCTTTCAAATACTTTTTCACTTTGCACTTGTTTAGTACTTAGGACTTTTTTGTTTAACTTTACCTGGTTGTGATAAGCCCTTGTGCAGTTACCTGTGAATGTTTAAATGAAATTAGTAATCTGAATGGTCTCATCCATCTTTAATAAATGTCATATATTCATGCAAATGACATCCCAAATCCACCGAAAACTTCTGTGTTGTACTCATTCACAAAGAGTTGCGTAATTAGACACCCCAATTGGATAAATATGTCCTTCTTCAGTCAATTAGGAAGGAGATAATTTAATCCGAAAATTCGCCTTCTTCGCCTTCTGCTTCTCTACCCACCATTTTTCTTACTCAACCGCGACAGCTGTTTCTCTGAAGGCGACGACGGTGCGAAGGAAGGTGAGGAAGAAGGCGCAGACGAGGAAGAAAAAAGAGAAGGTAATTCATCATTTAAAGCGTTTTTCTTGCTAATTTAAAAGCGTGTTGAATGTGCGTGCGTGTGTGGTTCTCAAGACGGTGGGGACGAGTAGAGAGGAGAAAGAGGTGAAGATCGGAGGGAGGCATGCCTCCTCAAAGTGACAGCGCTCCATAAGGCTGCTTGACAGATACACACAGCGAAAGAGGAGGAAGGAAGGGATGGGCTCACACATCTGCCCGGATTAAACGCAGCTGTCAACTAGGCAGTGGGCAACCACGACGTGACACGCGAACCGCAAATACATCTCGCTCTTGTTTTCTCACTATCCCTCTCACGGTCCCACTTTGACTGACGCCTTCAGTTGCGCTCTAAAGGTCCCGACACCAAAACACGTGTGTGCCACTGCGGAGAATTTGAATTCCACCCAATGACAAATAACAAATCTTGGTGTTTTAGATTTAAAAACTGACTCAGGAGTCAGTATAAATAAGTTTACTGCACTTAAATCTAATCTTTGCAGACAAAACACATTTTAAAAGACAGGAATGCAGCTGAATGACATTTGCTTCAATTGGGTTTAGCATCTGGCGGCTCTTTTATTCTCCAGACATTTGATCTCTTCCATAGTGACTTGTAGCTCTCCTCGCGCGGTCTAGGCTACAAGTCTGTCAATCACCTCTGTAGGTGCTTTAATGCAACCACTTACAAGTTCATATCTTCTGAATTAAGTCGGGTGTGGCAAATACCAGATGAGCACGAAAGATAGAAACACTTCATCACGGCTTCATAATAATGGTCCCCTTCCAACGGACAGTATAATGGCTTTTAAAATGTCAGGTAACAATTTATAGTTTATTAAGTAGTGCGCTAGCTAAGCTTTTGGTGTAAACAGGCATTGATATTTTCGTATCCCTCAAATAATGGTATAACACTTAAAAAAACATTTGGCCGTCCACCTATAATAAATCTAATCACATGACGGGCTATATTTGGTAGCTTTCAAGGCCTTTAAACTCTCTGAAATATTAGAATCTTGGGGAGCTATTTTTCTATGATTTATTACAAATGTAAAGCACTATTGTGATTTGACATTTGTTTAATTGCACATTTAGCTGCCCGGGCACTTCAGTCTTCGTGGGCTGCACTTCCGCTTGGTGTTGCCTTCCGGAAATGAAGATTATTTCCCAACCCCTGCTTACAATAACGATAAACCATTCTTCCACATTGATACGCCTTACTATGGCTTCAGGTGGGGGAGAAGGCTATGGGCACTCTAGCCCTTTATCCTAAAAGTCACATTAGTAATTTATCAGCCATTCCTCCGCTGAATAGCAGAAATCGCCTTTCCAAAGAATAAAGGCGGAATTATCATTTTGCAAAGTTAACTGAAAATGGATTTTTTTTTCCTTAATAGAATGCCGAGCAAAACCTTAGAATGAATTCGCTCTGAAAATCGTCGTTCTTGCTTGTATTTAAACTATTCAGAATTCCAATTTAATCGAAAAGTAGCACTTCAAATGAAGCCAAAATGTCATCACTGGCAAGTGGCATTTCATTTTACTATTTCACTTCCAGAAATTGAATAAATTGGGCCAAAAATTGAATTTTTATGGTGCCACGCGTCTATTTATTGATTAAAGGCCTAAGGGAAAATCGATTAGCGGCGGATCCAGCGCCATAAGGCACCGAAACTCAGGAGGAGGGAGATGAAAATGGGGAAGGAGAACAGTCTAATGGCAAACAAACTTACTAAACGGTGGATTTTATAATGAAAGGAGTTTATCTTGAATTGAATGCGGGAGAGATGTATTTGCATGTCAACCGTTTGGAGAAAAATACTTCTGAAAAAAAATTATGTATCTGAACTACACTTGCTTCCTGCAATTTGTTACATCACAAAGGCACTTTAAGCTAATCTAAATATAACTCTCAGGAAGGAGAGGTGAAGAGGAAATCATAAGTAGTGTGTGATGGCGGCAGCATCATCGATGCGATGGCAGACCGACAATCCAGCTAAGAAGGATACTACTGAATTGATGGACTGTTTTGCCTTCATGAATGCCATTTCATCTCATGCCGATAACTGATGGCGTAGATTGGATGTTTTGCCAACCAACGGAGTTGTCATTTTTACATAGCCAAGCATGCACTTGTCAATACCAAAATAATTACAACACTTTATTCCTTTGTTCACACAATAAATAGTGAGAAATGTGAGAAAATTCTTAGACGGAAGGGCACTGATAAATAACACCTTTTCGAGGGAACACACCAAAAATGGTGACCTAGGAAGGACTAACAGAGAAATAATATGTTTTGTCTTTTCTTTTTTATCCTTTTTTGCGTGGAAATCATTGTGATTTAATTAGACCGTTGTCAATTATAATTTTCTGTGGACACCGCGAACACCTATCGCTCCATCTAGCATCATCCTTGATTAACCAAATGACTGCTGTAGATTTCCTTATTTCTCGTGCATTTTCGTTCTCCAAAAAGTCAAATTTTCCTTAATGTCAACTTAAACGGATGTCTCCTAACCAAAGCAGCCCAAATTAACTCAGTATTTTGATTTGTTTTCCTAAATACTACCGTAAAACTAAGAACTATTTGCTAAGCAAATGAAGCATGGTGTTGAGAATAAATGTTTTAGAGGTAAGACGTTTGGATACTGGATATTTTTCAAAGTCCCACCTTGGCATTTCCGTGATCGGCGAAGCTGATAATTCCCAAGGCATGAAAATCTCACCGTGGTAGTTAATCATTGCCCAACACAATGGGAGGAAGAAATTCCCCTAATCTGAGTAAGAGGAATTTGAAAAGAGGAAGATTTTGGAGGTGAGGTGGAGGTGGTACTGGAGCTGGAGGTGGCAGTGATTTAAGTGCTTGTCACTGGATGTCACTCAGTGCATTAGCAGCATCGGCTCTGCTTCTGTTGCTGCCAAGGATACAATTTTGACTTTAAAAATGAATTCACCATTCAAATTCAAGCCTACTTTGGATAGGGTTAAAGAAAATGGCAAAAGGGGTAAGAGATGTCCATTTGCAAAGGTGATAGCCAACGGGTGAACGGGGGAGAGACCAAAGCTTCGAATTTATCAGGGCGTGATGTATACACTTTTCCGTATGACGATCCACTAGGATGTAGCATAGCGTTGTCTACCTTATCTGTAGAATCTTAAATCCTCCTAGTGTCACACTAATTTCGGTAGTGTAAAATTTCTCCCGCTTGGGGTAACTAGCTAGAAAACGAGCGCTTTTCCTAAGCTCGAAGAAGTAGATGTGGTATTTTGCCCTTCTGCCTTCGGAGTCAAATCCTCGGATAGAGAAGATTGAGCAGAGGATGACATCTTGCGTTTGAGTAGTATAAATAGGGTTCGTAGAATTTCAATGATCATAGAGCACCGTCTGGGGATTGGTGACCGCGGCAGTCAGCCACGAGGTTGGTTTAAACTGCCAACTTGCCACCTAAATGGTAAGATAAGGTTAAAATGAAGCACTTGTGGCAAATTGAACTTGCTTACTTACTTACCTAGAGAAGCTCCGTTGAAATGGTTTGGAGGAATTGTTGTGTAATCAATCATGGTTTTAAGGATTTTTAGTCTGAGGGGCTAGAAACTGGAGACCAGTTTCAATAAAAGTGCTGCATAATTAACAGGATATTTCTGAGGTACCTAGCAAAAAAGAGTTCCCTTAAGTAAACTTTTCTAGGCACTTGGTGGGTAGAAATCAACCCAGTCAAAGTGAAATGCTACTTAGGTAGGTGAATTTTTTTACCTAACGAAAAGCGTGCCGTGTATCATGCTTTAAGACATTTCAGAATGTCCCCATTCCTCATCAGAGCATTGTCAGAAGAGCAGGGGACCTAAAACTTGGTTTTTTTTCAGTAGCCAAAAATTATTTATTCGATTTTATATTTTCCACCCCACAGACAACCTTGAGTGATGATGAAGTAAAACAAATCAAAATGACTCCAAATTCAGAATCTCATTAAATTCAGTCTATTGACGAATTATCGTTGGGTAAAACAAAGCGGACTTTAGGCATTTCAAAATCCTCCTCCCCTTGCCCAAAAAGCATCTTGCCAACTTTACTTTTTTTAACAACAACTCCTTAGGGTACAGGTCGTTAAATCCCAACCCCGTAAATGACGTCTGATCGAGTATGCGATAAGTAGTCTGTTCAAGTTTACATGAAACGTGAGAAAAGAAAACGGAAAGTCTTCTTTAAATCACACACATAAAAGAATGCTAGAGTGGAGTGCGAATCCTCAGCAAGTTTATGAGGTCCTCGGGGGTATTTTACTCTCTTTTGACGGGAACTCCTAAAGCCCTTTTAAGTTCTCTTAGTTAGGGCGTTATTTACTTTTAATTTTTTCCTCACTTTAAACACAGAGCTCCCTTTCTAGTTTCTTTTTTTTTCCTGGAGCGAAATATGGAGGAAATGCATGCACTTAAGCAAACCGACTGTTCAGAACCCATTCAAGTCTACTGACATTTCCTTTATCTGTATTATCGTAGGGGATGAGTTTTGGGTAGAAAACAGACTAAAACATCAAGATTGTTATGCCCGCTATTTTCTGGTTTAAAAGAGTAACCAGTTTCCGAGTTTGTGGGGATATTGTACCAAAATTTATCAAAGTGGTGGTCTGCATCAGGTCTATTTATCTAAACTCTGTAGCCGTCTTTGCTCGTCAAAAAGTGGCTTCCTTACTACACACAAAGATAAAATTTTGCCAAAAAAGTAAGGATTTGGAGTAGCTGAATGAAGGCGTGAATATCTTTTATCCTAGGATATCTGGAACTACTAAATACTTGATCTGAAGTACAAACTTGACTAAAAGCGTCCCAAAAGCGAGCGTATATTTATAATATAGTTTTCCAACTCCATTTTTAAGCTTTCACTGTGGGAATGGAAATCTCTGGTTCATTCACACCAATCCCCAAATTTGTGGGTGCGTGTGTGGCGTTACTCGTTCCCATGTGTGGCCTCGAAGTGGTACACAGGATGAGAGGGCGAACCCCCTCCCCTCATTTCCTCGACCCTCCCCAATCCGAAATCAGGGCTCACGCATGGAGCACTGTATGCATGTGTATGGGTAGAGGCAAATTTATAATTAATTGCCCCTGATTCGGTCAAAAATAAATACCTACCCTACCCCTCTCCCATAATATGTCCAGTTGCCCCAAGCCAATGCTGATCTACATGACCGTTAAATATTTCATCAGGAGTGGT